AGGCCAGAAAGGCCTGAAATGAAGAGCCAGGAAGTTCACACACACACACACACACACACACACCCGCCCCCAGGGGTTGTGGGTTCCTCTGTATATAAATGTGAATGTGTTCTTGTGGGAGTTTGCACAGTCCCAGGGAAGCTGAAGGGGGCCACACCTGCTGCCGGGGACCCTGCACCAGCTCCCCCGGCTCACCTTCCGCTCCAGCTCCCGACATGAGACTGCTCCAGGCTCTCCTCTGCCTGACAGGTAAGCAAACCTGACCCTTGTCCCCAGCTGCCTCAGCTGTTTCTGAGCTGGCCGTCTTGGGCTTGCCCAGCCCCTCAGGGGGCCCTCGGGCCCTCTGGCCAACTGGCCCTTACCTCCTCCTGGGTCAAAGAGTAAGAACAAAATGCTTCTGGAACCCTGGCTTCTTGACCTGGGCTCTGTAGGGAGATCCCAAGAAGTCCAGAAACTTAGATGGGAAGCGTCGACCTGAAAGGTGGTTAAAGAGACAACAAACTGAGTGTTAAGTAAATTTATATTGTTTTACTCCCTTAAGTTAGCAGCATGTAGCTCACATGTTACATGGAGGCAGAGCTTTAACTCTGACTGAATCAAGCAGTTTTTGGAGGACTTAGGATGTCTGTGTTACTCAGTTTATGGTCTCCATATGTTTAACCAGGGCATGAGAAAAGAAATTTAAAGAAGATAGGCAAATGTCAGATCCAGGATATCTGTGTTTCCTTTACCACCATCCAGATAGGGTCTGTCTGGGTTAAAGGCGCCTCAGTGGTCACAAACATAAGAATGCTCTTGGTCAGCTTTAGCTCTTGACACAGGAAGGGGCATTCTCAGTTCACTCAGGAAGAAAAGATCAATTCAGGTTTTTGGCCCTTATTGGGGCTCAATTGATCTTAAATGGTTATCAGAAGCAAATCTATTTCACTGTGACTGGCTTCCTTTGTGTTTTATGTATTTTATTGGGTGCCTTCACAGAAGCCCATCCCCAGGTGGCTGCTGGACCCTCTGATCCACAAGGAGCCCAGAGCCCCAGCTCTTTGGGGTTTGGACTTCAGAAGACAGGAAAATCTCATAGCAGGGGGGCTGTCCATTGTCCCAGGCTTCTGTGAGGTCAGGGGCATGCTCTGTCTCTGGCCTGCCCCACCTCTGGGCCAGTGCCAGGCATCTGTTCAAGCTCCTGCTAAGCGGTTAGCTCCTAAGGGTCCTGGAAATGCCCCCTGCCTCCTGCTTCAGCATCCTCCATCATGTCATCCTGGGGGGGAGCTGAGGGGCACCTCCCTAGAGACTGTGTGGATCAGAAAAATCAAGGCTCTACAATGAAATGGGGATGTCCTATCCCTTCTCTTCTGCACCCAGAACTCCCCAAAAGTGCGTGGGGAGCCACTTTCTGTCTGAGATGGAGTGGGAAGGAGAAGCAGGGGGCCTAGACAAAGGAAACTCTTTCAAGGGCAGTGGAGGTGTGGGGGCTCACTCTCACAGCCGTAGCATTTGAAGCAGTAGGCATGCCCAAAGCCTGTGTGGTTCTTGAAGTCAGCGGAGTGAGAAGGAAAGGGCCAGGAGGGCCAGGAGGAACTGTCCCACCCAAACTACCGATCTGTGGGCCAGCTGCACCAGCCCCTGGAAATGGGCAGCTGAAGGCCCCCTGCACTGACCCCGGGCCAGCCCCTGGGCATGGGCAGCTGAAGGCCCCCTGCACTGGCCCTGGGCTCTGCCTTCAGGGGACTCAAGGAGGAGGGAGGTGCCAGCCAGGTGGCTTCAGGTCTGGGCAGACCCCTCCAGGCTCAGGCCTGGACACCTCCATTTAAGAGGGCCATTGTTTCTTGAGACAGCAGCTGGGCTGAGTGGGGACTGACTGGTGACATCAGGATGGTTGAGGCGAGTTCAGTCAAGAGAAGGTCAGGAAAAAGCTGATTCTCCTGCCTTTGGAGGACAGTTAGCCTTGGGGAGTTTGAGCCCCTAGGGCAGAGTCAGGAGCCCCATGAGATGTCAGCCAGGGCTGGCGGTCAGGCCCACCTTCCCTAAGAGGCTTAGCTGCTCTTGGAGGAGGTCGACTAGTCCTGGCCCCCACCCTCCTCTGTGCGCCTCCAGAAAAATGCTGGATAAACTCTGCTCCAGTAGGTCCCTGGCGCATCAGGGACGAAGCCGAGGCCACAAAGGCCACTCTTTTTTCACCAACCGCTGGGCCACGCCTAGTGATAGAAAGAAAAGCCAAGACCAAACAATGTGCCCTGTACCCAAGGAGCTCCCAGCCCAGTGGAGGAGACAGCAAGGGAACAGCTGTTTAGAGACCAGCTCCGGGCAGGATGCACTGGGGGCAGTCCCAGAGGGAAGGCAGCCAGAAGGAGGCCTGGGGAAGGCTTCCTGGAAAAGGTGGCATTTTAGCTGAGAAGCTAAAGGAAGCCAGGAGCAGGGGATGAGAAGGAAGGGCGTGCCAGGCACGGGGGCAGCCAGAGAAAATGCCCAGAGACAAGAGAGGGAAGGGCTTGGCTGAGGAACAGGCTGGAAAGCAGGGAGGGGAAAAGAGAACGAGTCTGTGAAGGGATTTGATCTTTGCTCCCCGAGGCAATAAATAGGGAGGAGCCGGAATGGGGTGAGTAGGGGGTGATGGATGATCCCTGAGCTTTGGGAAGATCAGGCAGCGTCTGAGTTGGGGAGGGACTGGAGGGGGGAGATCTGAAGCTGGCAGACCCCTCCCCCAGCAGCCATGCAATGGTCCAGGGGTGAGGGGAGGAGGGTCTGCACCAGGGTGGGGGCAGGGCCAGAGGAGAGGACGGGCCATTGACTTCTGATTACATGTGGAGGGTGAGAGAAGGCTGGGTGCCTGGGAGGATGGGGGTGATGCCCTTTCTAGTAATGGTGAAGGTGGGGAGGGGAGGGCTTTGGGGAAGTGATAATGGGCTCGACTTTGGAACTACATGCCAAAATGTCTACAGCACAGCCATTTCAAGTTATCTAAAAAGAGAAGGAGAAGGAGAATTGCGGGGGGGGGGGGGGGCGGGGAGAGGAAGAAGAGAGAGAAGAAAGGAGGAGAGAGTCCTAAAAACTAAGAGAGAAGACTGTTAAGGAGAGAGTGATGCGCCTCTGGAGGACCCCTCCCAGCTTGGAGGTGCTGCGATTCTGGGGACATTTGGGTACCAATTCCAGAGGAGAGCTCATGTGGGGCTGGCTCTGGCGCCACCCAGCGGAGGAGGCGGGCCGTTCTCCTCAGTGAAATGCCGCGTGGGTGCCAGTGGTGCCCAGGGCTCCTCCCTTCGCTGGCAGAGAGTGAGGGGCAGCCCTCCCTCCCTCCATCCACCAAGAGCTGCGCCCCTAGCCAGGTCTGGGTGGGCAGCATGGATGTAGAATGGCGTCCCGTCTGGTGGCAGCTGAAACCCAGAACGGAGGCTGCAAGTTGCCAGGAGCCCAGTACCCTCAATACACGTGATGGATGCTGTCTCGGAGCGTGCTCCAGACAGGGTTGCCAGGAAGAGTGTGATTTTGTTATCGGTTTGGGAGACCCCAGGACAGGGCTCGTGGGGGATCAGGAAAGAGTCCTCCCCATCCCCCTAAAGCCCCACCTCCTCAGAGCACACCTGGGGCCCCGGGAGGCTCCAGCCTGGCCTTCCTTCCCCGGGCGTCGCCTCCCTGGATCTCCAAGAGGCTTTCTACGTGGGGGAGGTGGCAGGATGAGCAGGAAGTCCCAGGACATGCCCAGGCTACAGGCATGCCTCTGGGGCTCTGGCCGGCTGCAGATGAGCCTGCTCGATGCCTGTGGGGCAGGGGGCCAGAGATGCCAGGCCGGTACTCTGCCTGACAAAACCTCTAACCTGGTCAGGAGGCAACCACCTGGCCCCCATCTGAGAGTGAGCCTGTGGGCAGGGGCAGCCCTGAGCTCCTCCAGTCTGTGGTGGCCAGAGAAGGTGGCACAGCAGTGACTCAGCCTGGGGAACCCACTGTCCAGCGGAGGAGGCCAGCCTCCTGAGCTGGCCGGTGGGGAGCTCAGCACCCTCCGGAGCCAGCTGAGGAAGGAGGGAGACCTGGGTGGTCAGAGAAGCCCGAGAGGGTGCGTCCACCTCCGACTTGCTATGTGCCCTTGGCCAAGGCCCTGCCTTTCTTCCTAGGTCACTAGGTGGGCCTCCGCCCTGTAAGATGGACCCTAAGGCCCCTCCTAGACCCGCATGAACTGGGACTCGCAGGAGGGAGAGGATGGCTGGCTGGCCACGGCGGCCACCTGCCCTGGGACCAGAGGGGTCACCACACTGCCCAGCATTCCGAGAGGGGCCCCGGGGGGAAGAGAGGGGCTAGCAGTCAGGCCTCACTTGCTGGGCTCTTTGCTAGCAGCCCCCAGGTCTAAAAGAAAGGCAAATATGGTCGTGCCCATTCTCAAGGAGCCAGGAAGTGTAGAGTCACAGAAATAAAGATGGAAGCTGCATCATTTGGCCCCCCCAACAACCCTGGGAGGTAAGTTCTGTGCTTATCCCCATTTGACATATGGACAAACTGAGGCAGAACGAGATTGAGCAACTTGCCCAGGGTCACACAGTCACCAGGTGTCTATGGCTGGATTTGAACTCACACTCCAAGCCAGCACTGGTGTCCCTGTGACTGACCTTCCTGGGAGCTTTCAGACTTACACAGCGCTTTCCTCACAATCCTCTGAGATGTGGAGGTCTAGGGTAATCAGCCCCATTTTACAGGTGAGGAAACCGAGGCCTTGAGAGAGAAGGCAATTTACTCGTGGCCGCCCAGCCAAGAAGTGTCAGATGCAGGATTTGAACTCACTACGGTGTTCTGTCTGCCCTGCTGCCTCTCAAGGGCACACTCTGACATGCTCGGTACAGCTGGCCTTCATGAGGTCTCCCCACAGGTCACTGACAAGCTGCCAAACCTTTCTGGTCACTAGGTGAGGTCCTCCCCATTGCAGGAGCCTCTGTGACACTGGTATGATGTCGTGTGGAACTGTGAGACAGCCCCGCTTGGGGGGCGGAAGCTGCGGCTGGGGGGTGTCAGTATGACAGAGCAGGGCCCGTGTGGTTGGGGTGATAGCTGGAACTGCAGTCAGCCGGCAGCTCCTGTGGTCACAGATGAGACGTGTGAGCAGCCAGGGAGGGAGAGCTGACAGTCTGCCTGTCGCCCTGCGTCCTCCTCTGGGGGCCTTGCTTACTGTCAGTCTAGCCCTGTCCACAGCCTCAGGAAATGGTGAGATTGTGGGCGGCTGCCAGAGAGAAAGCCAGGGCTCAGGGGCTGCCGCCTCCCACAGGTGGGTT